CTAAAAAATTGGACGGATTTAGTTTGGATCCCCCCCCCCCCCCCCGCCGTCCCCTCACTCGTTGCCCCGGTGCCCCCCCCCCTCTTCCCTCCTGTACTCGCCGTGTCGGACCCCACGTTTGTGTGGATGCGAAACCTGTCTTCTTCTGCTGGCACGGGGCCCGTTTCGCCTGCTTGCAGTACGTCTGCCACGCGGAGATGAACGCGATTCTCAACAAGAACAGCGCTGACGTCAAAGGGTGCCTGGTAAGCGTGTGTGAGAGCCAAGAGAGAAAGAGAAACGACTGGCCGGAGGCTTTGTTTCAAGTATTTTCTTTTGGCTGGTACTCTGCTGTATGACCGCCAAACGCACGATAAACATTTCCACCTCCTTTATTTTCGAGCCAGCGGTCGCGGTACTTCTTGCCTACAGTACCACCGCTACCCTTGCGCTATCCGCGAGTCCCCCTCTCACCGTTAGACGCCCCTCGCTGGCAAACATCAGAGGCTGCAGCAGCGGACAGCGTATAATCCCCTGCTTTCCTCCGTTGAGATGGCGACCCGATTTGCGCCCGTCACCCCCCTCGGCTGGTGCGACTCACGTGGACAAAAAACAGATATACGTGGCCCTGTTCCCGTGCAACGAGTGCGCCAAGCTCATCATCCAGAGCGGCATCCGAGAGGTGGTGTACCTCTCCGATAAGGTACGTGTGGTGGTGGTCCTGAGTGATAGGTCTATAAGTATGCAGGTGTCGTATGGGAGTATGTTGAGAAGAGGGAAACGGACTGCACGAGCCGTGTAGCGGAGATGGGAACAAGGTGGCGTTCTTGGGGGCTTATTTATATTGACAGGCGTAAGTAAAGTGGCTGCGTGAGTGTTTCTTCAATTAGCATCCTCTTCGCTTCGTCGTGAGGTAGTCGAGGTTTTTGACGATCAGCCCCCGGGGGCTAGCATCGACCGCGCTAACCCGCTGACCAAGTCGTAGTTGTTGTTTTCTTTTAAGCAAACGTACCGCGTGTTGCGTAAGATACCACATCCCTGACCGACCGTTTTTCAAAGCTTGACTGCTCTGCAGGAAACACGGCAGTAGTGATGGTGACGACTATGGCGGCCTTGGAACCGTCTCGTGGAGGGCCTTTCACGTCGTTTGATTTTGACGTCCTCTTCGTCGTGGGGTAGTCGAGCATTGACAATAGGCCCACGTTAGTGTAGGGTGTATTCACGATGCGAACCACATCGTGCCGTATGTATTTTGTCTGGACGGCTTGTGTTGTGGCAGCTGGGCGTTTGTTGACGCGCCGTTCCGATAGGACCGGGTTGGGTGTCTACTCGGCGCGAGTTCCGAATTCTCTCTCTATGGACATGGACCAATCGTATAATTCGGCGGTTTGTCGCATGTGACGTACGAGGAATGACGTTTTGGCGCTCCGCTGCGCTCGTTAATCAATTCTGGGTGAGGTAGTCATGGCGTGGCAGAGTCGGCTCAATTGTATCGTATCGACTCGGCTGCTGTTGTTGTCGTTGTTGTTGTCGTTGTCGTTCTGGTCAACTTGTACCCTCTGTCATTCTTCGGGCTATTTCACACAAGGCTGCCTTCCCCGACAACTCTCCGGCCTTGAGAAACCACTGCCTTACTTCCTGCCCTTTTTCTGCCTCCTGCCTGCCTTGCATTGCGGGCCCGCTGTGCCAGCCCTCATCTCCACCAACCTGACGACGACCGCGACCCCCCCCCCCCCCCCCCCCCCT